CCCCAAAACCCCAAAACCCCAAAACCCCAAAACCCCTCGGATTAAATTCCTGATTGAAAATGATATCTTCAATGTTAAACATGCCCTTTGATCAAAACATACTGTTTAAGTGGAGCTTACTTAGCTGAATCCTCCTCATTCATGAGCTCTTCTGCATAAAGTATCTTTCATGGGAATAGAAACACCAGAAGGGTAACAATCAAGGGAAATAAGAGTAATCAGACTCCAATGAGAATTACCCATGGGTTCTCTGAAGAAGTATTTATCACCTCATTTACTATTCCAAAGCATATTAAGATAAAAGCAATTACTGGTGAAACATACTTCAGACAAAACTTGTACATAGCAGGAAAAGTCTCATTATTCTGTAGAACTTTGATTTCGAGCTCTTCAAAAGGAAGTAGATAAATAAACACAATCAGCTCAAACAGGACAAAAATAATCGGCGTCAAGCTGACAGCGTACAGGTCCATGAGTTCGAGCCAGTAGTAGCCTGCTCCTGACGCAAAGAAGATAATAGCTAGCCCAGCAGTTAGGATGGTTAAGGGTAGGGATACGAAGGTCTTACTCAGAGTAAACCACTCGTATCTAGTCAAGAAGCCGTATAAAATAGTTGCTCATGAATCAAGAAGTGAGTATTGACTACTCAACCCTATTGTGATTAGCATAGTGAAGAACAAGATTGACCAAATCTGAGGAAATGGGAGCATATTAACAATAGCAGGATATGCCACAAAGGCTAATTCTTGACCATCAATTGGCATATCACTAATCTCAACTCCTGAAATTAATGAAGCATGACCAACAAAAGCAAAAAGTGTGCAGGCTGCAAACACAGAGGTTGCAAAATTCATTACTGGAATCACGACTGAAGGCATCAAAATCTTCTGGTTTCGAGGATTTAGAGATGAAAAATGTATGGTGAGATTAATCCCAATGTTGCTTGAAAAGATGACCTGGCTAGCAGCATCTCTCCAAATCTGAAGTGTCCATAGCTTGTTCCAATCAGCACTAAATATATAACCCCACCCGATTGTATTCCCTGAGAGGAAGATGCCTTTGATGAACAGTACTGTCAGAATCAAGAAGGGGAGTGGAGTGATGACTAAAACGCTCCATTTTGCTGTATCCATTCCCTTAAATGAAGTCAAGTAAGTCATAAAGCAAGACAATATGAATGCAATTATTATCAAGATTGAGTAATTTGACATGTCAAAAATATCGTCAGTAATGTGGAGAAACTCCTTTTTGAAATAATCCTGCTTCCAAAATTGGCCAGCCTGATATTCTTGATCAGAGACAGCCCATGGCAAAGGATCTTGAAATGAAAACATCAAAAATGTAACTCACCAAGCTAAAACACATAAGTATAACAAAGACATATAGAGCAAGATGATTGAGACTCCAAAGCTCAAAGCTTGGTACCCCTCTTTACCTTTCCCAAAGTAAAAATACCTGTGCATGGTTCTTTTGAAAAGCTGGCCGTAGGCCACTTCTAAGTAGAAGAAGGGTAGGCAAATGACAACAATACAGATAAAAAACGGTATGAAGAACACTCCGCCGCCATTCCGGTACATCATATTCGGAAATCTCCATATATTCCCATACCCTACTGCGCTTCCTAGTCATGCTAGCCAGAACTGGACTTCGCTATTGTAACTCCCGATCCTATGATCTGTCTGCCTGGTCGACCTCTCGGCCAGGGGCTCCACTGAGACTCTCTTCTCTGTTTCAAAATTATGGTCCATTTACAGCTAAATTTTATAATTTTAGCCAGAGCTGCTGTATTTATATTTCGAAGTCAATAAAACTGATTTTTTGAGGGGTTTTGGGGTTTTGGGGTTTTGGGGTTTTGGGGTTTTGGGGTTTTGGGGTTTTGGGG